AAAAGAGCAACCCCTTTGGAGGAGTGGCGATGGCAGCCCCCTTCCGAAGGAACATTGCTCTCTCTCTCTCTCTCTCTCTCTCTCTCTCTCGCTATGGAGGGTTGTGGGGTTGAAACCAAAGGGAAGCCAAAGGCACACCATTCATTTTGTTGTATTTTCTGTCTCATTTTGAGAGAAACCATATCTTTCTTGCGGTCAGCTGGGAAGGCTGTCACAGGAGCTTTCCAGCGTTTCGCTAGGCTCCGCTCTTGTCCCCCGGTCGACCAAGAAAAAGAGCGACTTCATCTTTAAAGGGACTCGTTTTGTGGGATTGAAGCTGGCCCCCCAAAAATATGAAGTTTTGACTGTGGCACTGGCGAGAGATCAGGCCATATTGCAGCCCAACGGACTTGGACGAAGCGCTGTACACAGCTTACGGCCTGTCCGGATCCTCAAGACACACAACGGCAGACGACTGGCAAGGGTGTTTGAGTTGCCTTCCTTTTCTGGCTGGCGTTTGGGTTGATGTTTGTTGTTTCTTGTTCATGACTACTTGACGAACATAATTACACGCAAGAAAAGCGGCCTTACATTTGGATGAAGTGTTGGGTCCCAATGGGATGTTGCAGCTTCAGCCTCGGTTTCCTGGTTTTGGAACGGGTTTGGTGGCACCTTTTGCAAGCAACCTCACCGAAGGTTGCTGTCAAAGGCGTCTCCCATCTATTTTGAAGAAGTTCCACCAGAAATCTTGCGGTGGACCGAGTCTCCCTCGGACCCGTTGGTCCAACCAGCCGCCCGAGCCGAAAGTCAGACAGCTGATAGAGCCAGGAGCTAGGGGGGAATCAAACTAAAGCATCCTTGGAGGTTTCTGCGTTTCGGTATTGAAACCATTTTGACATTTGTATATATATATATATATATGTATGTAATTAATGGCATCAGCAACTATGTACTTGGTGGAGGATGTGGATGGATCCCAGGTTCCACCAAGTGCGCTGGAATGTGGAGCGCTGGCATTTGGATGCGCCGCGTGATGGCCATGGTTCTAGTCATTCCCAATCGCCGCCCCGAGAAAAAGGGGCTCCGCAATCCCAGGGGCCCAGTGCGGCGGATTTGGCTTTTACGGGACATCAGCGGACTCGGAGATGCCTTGGAGAATGGGAAAGCGAGAGCTGCCCCAACCTGTCTGACAGCCGAGGCCCGAGCCCAAGCAGCTGGAGGCCACGCGGACTGTCCACTGTCTGGGGGGGAGGGGGGGTTGCTGAATCCACCCGTTCGCCAGTTACTCAAGCCCCCCAGTGATCTCCTGTCGCAGGGAGCACAGACGAACTTGCATGGAGCGGACTTTACGCCAAGGACTAGCAAGACTTGCAGCTCAAAGCACAGCTTTGGAAAGCTTTCCCTTGAGCTTCTCAACACAACTGTAAAATGGAACGGAGTCTCGGACGCAGATTCGACATGTACACTGTAGCTTCTTCTTTTTTTGCGGACGTTGCAGACCCCAAGTGAGGCCGCGGGGTACAACGGGATCCCTTTTGTGTACACACTCAAGTTGTGACCAATGGGCAATCCGACTCTTTCCATTTTGAGTCGCCTTTTTGGGCAATCGTGCTTTTTGGGCATCGAGCATTGCTTTCATGAGGGCACCAGTTTCGAGTGCAGCCGAAAGGGTTCCTCACACTGGGTTGCTTTCGATCCAACAGATCCTAATGGTCACTGGCTAACCGGCCACTTGGCGCGAGAGCCATAGGGCCGCTGCAACTTAGCGGCCAGATGCCGGCAGTCAACATGAAAGGAGTTGCTTTCAGAATGGATCCCTGGAGCTGGCCGGATTTGGACACCTCGAAGCTGACCATCTGAAATCTGTCAGATGCTGTTAGGAAAGCCAGCGCATCACCCATTGGAAGGATCCACATTTTTCCGCGCCGGAGTTGAGGCCCGTTTTGGGTTGATAGCTCCCGCCAGCTGCGCCTGCGCAGCGGCTGGCCCACGCACCTGCGGGCGGACCCAGAGCCAAAGCTTTTAAAGCCCTGGGATTTGACTCCGAGTGAGGAGTTGACTGCGTGGTGATCTTCAAAAAGACCGATCCTTTGCTTTTGGGCAACAGTAGGATTCTCTTTTTTTTCTCGTTTTGCTTGTTGACCTCGTCGTGGCAGTTACATGCGGCAAGTAGGGCCAAGCCAGGAATAATCCCCCAATCGGGCTGCCTTCTTTGCAAGTGCAGAAGTGACTCCTTTGCAAGCACAGAAGTACCTCTTGCTTGTTTGGGTATTTTACAATTTGGCCAGCATCCAGTAGCGTTTCTTCCTTTGTCGTTTGCATTCAAGCCGGGCCCAACCGGCCAAGCACCACAGCAGCCCTGAGGCTCATCCAAGCTCACACGGAGCAGATCTCGCAGCGAGACGTGCCGGAGGTGTCCGTAGGGGGATGGAACTTACAGAGTGTTCTGCTTTGGCCTTGGGATCTCAAAATTGGTGCGGGCTTCAATTTTTTGAAACCTCGGAAGCAACATCTGCGAGTGCCTGAAAGCGGGGCCCCTGAAAGCGAGCGCCTGGCGATTGCGGCTCGTTGAGCATAGGCGCACACTTGGGGCGCTTGGGCACGGGCGACCAGTGAGAGGCGCGGGAGGTCGAAAGGTTGCCGCGTCCGGAGGCTGCTCGAACGCTGGCATCCCATGTTTCAGGGGACTACGTTTTTCGGGGGGAATTTTCCCCGATGGATTGGTTATTCCTATCATTTTTCGAGCCCCGGAAAGCAAACAAAAAAAAACCACCCTAACCCACCCCGAACCACCTTAAACCCACTCCAAAGAAAGGCGGCCGTTTTGAGGACCTCTTGCATTTTTGCTGAGACCACACCCCTGCCATGGGACAGTGAGACCTTCTCACGGACGGCTTGTTTCAAAAGGGGCAAACATGCGGGCTGGGTTGGGGCGGATTTTCATTTCTCTAGCTTTTGTTCGTCTTAACAAGCAGATGTTCATGAACCGCGGTTCATGACGGCATCTTTCGCACATTTTGCGCAAAACAACCGGTTGGTCCGAGGCTGTGCAGGTGCAAGATGCATCAGCTGTCAGGTGTCCATAGGAACCAGCTGAGCCATCATCGCTGCCGCCCCCGTGGCTTGCACCAGGCTGCTGCGACTCGAAGCCGAGGCCGGCTTCGGGAAGCCGGGCTCAGTGCTTGAAGCCGGCGCAGACACCAAGCTGACGGGCAGTTTTCCCAAAGGTCAAGGGTGGTGTTGAGATGTCTCCAGAAAACTCCATGGCTTTGTGGATGTGGCTACTTGGTGTTATGAGTATGAGAAAGCAGGAGTTTTTTCAGCAGGAACAAGAGCAATCAGTTCGCGAGGCATGGGTGGCATGGAGCAAGGTTCTACCAAATTTGTGTGTGTGTGTGACATGTTTGAACAAACGGGGAGACTAATGTTTGGCGCATCAAAAATAGCACCGAGAAATCACGGCGGTTTTCATTTCAATGTCCCTTCAGACAAACCCTGCGCTTTATATAGCAAGCTCACCGACCGCTGGTGGTACAAGCTCACCCATGAGAAGGTTATTTATCTAGGTGATTCAATGATTCCGGCTGGTAAATGATCGTACTTATACAGTGCAGATCAATACCATATCATGTTGAGCATAGGGATAGGTGAATAAGTAGCTTGAAAACGTACAAACAGAACGTGAGATTAGATAGATAAATAGATAGAACGCGAGAGGTTAGATGGACAGATTGACTAGAAAGAAAGATAGATAGATGGACTAGGTAGGTAGATAGATAGACATACAGACAGAGATAGATAGATGGATAGATAGATAAAACGGTAGACGCGTTTCCAGATAGGTAGATAGACAGACAGAAAGATCTCAGATTTGTAAATATAATGTGATAAGGCAGATGGATGGATGGAGAGACAGATAGACAGACAGGTAGACAGATAGTTCTACGAGTTGAAAGGTAAATGGACAGAAAGAGAGTGAGTTTAGACAGGTAAATAGGTAGATAGATACATAGAACGTGCAGAAACAGGCAGACAGTGAGGAATCAAAGGATGAAAGAAAGTCGAACTAGAGCTGAGGAAGCCCGTACTTGGCCTGGAAGTTGACAGTCCAACACCCCCCCGGAGCTTGTGGAGACTTTCCCATACTTGTTCAGGGCTTGCTGCAAGGCGGCCCTAATTCAGATTGATTCAAAAGAAGACTGTCGGAAGAGAAAGAAAGAGTACAAGAAAAGGAAAGACAGGGAGGAGAAAGTCAAAGATAAAGAGAAAGAAGAAGAAGACAAAATAAGACGAAAAGGAAAAACAAGAGAAAGGAAGAAGAGAACGAGAAAGAGAGGGAGAGGGACAGAAAGAAGAGAGAGAGAGAGAGAGACAGAAATAATAGAGAGAGAGAGAGAAAGAAGAAAGAGAGAAAGGGAAAGGGAAAGCGAAGGATGAAGTAGAGAAAGAAAGAGGAAAAGGAAGAAAACCACAAAGAAATAGACAGCTATAGTTCTGTCTCTTATTTTTTTTGAAACTTCGCCTTGCGGCTTCGCCTTGCGGCTTCGGCGGCGGCACTGGTAATTATTAATGCGGTTCACTGCAAGCATTGACGGCGAAACAAGGGAGGATGGAAGCATTCCATGTGCTGCTCAGCAAGATTGTAGGTGTTTCCCGAGATCCGGGGCCCCTCGTCTCCCTGTAAGACCAACGGGACCACAATAAAAACCCCGGCAAGTGAAGCTTAGCAAGCGAATATCCGAACGACGAATAGGGGGCCCACACTTTCACAGTTGCAGGGTCGCCCCTAATTCCCGGTTGTTGCTGTAGTTGCCGCCGCCGCCGCAGCCCACTGGCTCTCTTGAAGAGGTGCCGAAAGGAGTGGGCGATTCCTCACCAGTTTCCTCATTAGCCCCAATTCTTCTGTTTTTTGTTTTCTTTCTTTTCTCAACTCAACACCCCACCAAGATCCAGCAAGCCTTTTGCGCGCCAAGCATACACGAGGTTTGCTTCACACCACCCCGATCGAAGCTCCCAGGCCAGGTGTTGTCTTTTGTGGGGCCCCTTGCAGTGATGTGCCGGGCTCTGCGGGCCCGCTGCCCATGGCAGTGGAACTTGGGCCGGAGGCCAAGCATCTCTCTGGCTTGCCACGGCGCACGTGTCGAAGGACGCCAAAAGGGAAACCAGCAAGGTCAAGGGGTCAAACGCGTTTGGCCGGTTTGGCGATGGTGAAACCCTTTAGGTTGTGTTGTATTCTTTGTGGCTGAGACAGGAAGTCAGGCGCCCGAAAGTCAAGGCTCGGTTTCCAAGGATCTTGGGACGCGCGTTTCATCCCAGGCAGTCGCCGTCACCAACGCTTGGCATCCACTTTCTGAGCCGTTGCCTCAGATGCCTCGTCGCCAATTTGCTGAACGAGGGCTGTCCTTTTAGGACTTTCAGGTCTTTCTGGGTTGAACATGGATGGGTTTTGTATTGCGACTCCGCTATTCCACAAGGACAGGCGAACGAGCTTGTCAACGTCACAAGCTTGTTCCTTTCTTGCGGGGTGGCTTCGCAAATGGGGAACAAACATGGGGCGGTTCAATTGCAAGATGGCGATTGCCAATGGAAGCTATGGGCCCTGACGGTGTTTTGCCAGAAAATCTGGGCTTCCGAAGGTGGGCGTCCTTTTGGCTTCTCTTGAGCACCTAGGTGCGTAAGGCCATTCCAAATGTTGGACACCTTCTGGGTCTTGGCAGGCGAAATAACCAAGGATGTGCTTTATCCCTTCAACAATCCAGAGTCCCGCGTACTTTGACACTGTGTTGGTTAGAATTATTATCCTCCGGTTGCTAAGGATCCGCATCAAAAGCTGTTGGTTCAAACCATTTTTTCCCCGACGCCAGTGAACAGTCCCCCTATTAATAAACTGGGGATGCTGACCACACAACGTACAGGAACAGACCCAATCTTCGCATCCATCACGCAAAATTGCCCAAACACAGAAAATACCAGAGATGTCGGGAATGCTGGGAACAGCCGGCTATCCACAAAAAAGTGCAAAATCCCAAGGTTTTTCGACATTTCCCAAAATAAACCATCAAAAACAGATACTAGCAACCCCCCTCAAATAGCCTAAAAATAGACTTCCAAAAGCATGATAATGCAAGGGATGTTTCGCAGTAACTGCTCCATACAGGTGGGGAATTGCACAAAAACACTCATTTTTGCAAATTTCAACAGTTCCTCAAAGTATCACTGCACTTGGCCCCACCCAAACCCCTAACAGGCCAATTCCAACATCGTGAAACAGCAAAACACCACTAGTATCAGCAAAAAAAAGAGACAAATTCATGGCAACAAGACAATTCTGATGATGCTGGGGATGCAGATCCTGGCGCCCGGGGAACCCCCCCCCCGCTAGAGACCTAGGCGAAACGCAGATTTTTAGCACGCAAGACCCAAAAACACTGGAAAGATACAGGGTTTTGGACACCCAGCACAGCATGCCCAAAAAATAGCAGTCCCGAAAGCCTTCGGCTTTGATAAGAGATTCCGAAGGAAGACCAAGTTGCAGACTGCCATCTACACGCTCGACTGGCGTCGGTGGATTTTGTCGCTTTACGCTTCACGATTTCTGATGCAATATGCACAACACATACAGGCACAAATGCAAACACATAGTACCTGTAATGGCCTATTTCGTCTGATTCGTTGTTGTTTTTGTTTTTCCTCTCTCTCCCTCTCTCACCGTTTGCAAGGCTAAGCTGTGGCTCAGGTGCAAGGTGCAGGGCTTCATGCTAGTTTCATGCCTGGGAGTGGATGGCTCGCTGGACAGAAGCTTCGCCTGAAATGGGCAGCGTGTCAAAACTGATTTGAAAGACACGGCAAGACATTCGGAGCCCATGTCCAGAGAGGCTCCGGGCTTCAAACCTCCAAGAAAAGCCTTCCTAACGGAGAGGGCGGGCGGGCCGCAAGGGTTTGCCGGTTTCCGACTTGGCCCACACTGAACGTCAAAGCGGACGCGTTTCGAAGGCTGAATTCCAACGTGTTTTGTCACACGTCCTAGACTCGGGGTCCCTCATTGTCAGATGAAGTGTAAATTTCCCAGACGCATGTATTCTCAACATTTCAACTTGTGCCATGGTCAAACTTTCTTTTGCGCTTGGGGACGGTCATCAGCCTCTTTAGGGATTTTAGAAAGCCACTGTAAGGGTTCCCATTAATTTTCGGAACCACGCTTAGCCTTGTGTTTCTCACCCATGTGTGTCACAGTGCTTTCCCCGCACTCATCTGGAAAGAAGGCTAGCACCTTTTCCGGCTCGGCCGGTTCGGAGGTGTCACACCTCCGAGCCAGCCCTCGCCGAACCAGGCCACGGGTTTGGCGATCTGTTTGGCTTCCCGGGCTTTTGTGGGGACTCCCGGGATCCAAAACGGAGCTCGAAGAGCCGGATAGGTGGTGGTGCGAGCAGGTGGTTGTTTGATGTGTTTGGTTTGGTTGGGTCGCGGTCTTGGCTTGGTTTGTCCAGTTGGAGTTGCGGTCGGTCAGCAGATGAATGCTCTTTTTGCTTTTGACTTGACGGTTGCCGACACAGACAGTCAAACCAATCAGCCAACCAACAAGCCGAAGAGACGGACAGAGAGAGCGAGAGAGAGAAACGGAGAGACGGAGGGGAGACGGAGAGACGGAGGGACGGAGAGACGGAGAGAGAGAGAGAGAGAGAGAGCGAGAGCGAGAGCGATACAAAGAGACAGAGGAGAGACGGAGAGACGGAGAGACGGACAACGAAAGGGAGAGACACACAGGTAGACAGAGACACAGACACAGGCATAGGCATAAAGAGACGGACAAATAGACAGAGACAGAGACAGAGAGACAGACACAGGCCGACGAAGACAGATAGATAGACAGAGCCAGAGACAGAGTTATTATACCCTACAAAAGGCCCTTCAACACACTGGGACCAGGCCTGAAAGAGCTTGATGGAAGTTTTTCGGCCACTTGTTTGTGTGTCTTCGTGTCAATTGCAGGTGGCGAGAAGCAATAGTGGCAGTCCGAGTCCGAGCCCGACTCCTCCGTGCGGGACTGAAACTGGGAGAAGTTGGCATCCAGGGCATTTGAGTGACCCTCAGGGTACCGTTTCTTTAGCATCCGCTAGGTTCAATCGCATTCCTTTCAGCGGTACCGAGGCTTTCAAACTTGCACTCGTTTTGCATCAATCGTGGAAGTGGGTAGCTGCCGGCTTTTGAAGATGGTGATAGCCTTCTAAAGTCCTCCTGTGCACATGATTTCTCCAAAAGGAACTTGACCCCCGGATTGAAGTCTATCTTGGGCAATCAACAATTGGAACGGATAGGGTCAGGTGGTCGGGCTGGCACTTCAGCACTCATCTGTGGGAGCGAAGCTCCACGTGGGTTGGGGTGTTGCATCAGAGGACAAAATTTAAAATGCTGCCCAGCTGAAGGTGGCCCTTGTTGGATTGGGCAATCGTATCCCCCCCCCCCCCCCCGCGCAAAAAATAAGAGGTGGTTTTTCTCACAGCCAAACTGGTCGCCAAGGGCTCGGGAGGTTTACCCTGATATCTGCGGAAGGTATAGGAAGGTGCCGGCTTTGGACCATGTGCCGGCTTTTGGTGGGATACTCCACGTGGCTGTTGGTGGGAGCCGTGGTGCGTAGTGTCAATATGTATTGTCACAAAAGTAGATGTCGCGGTTTCCGGATGCAAGTGCTCAGAGTCATTTGGCAGCATCTAAGTTCTTAACAAAGCCTCATCTTTTCACGGTCTTTGTTGACTAAAGTGGTCGACACCAGCAGCTCACAACCTTCTACCTGAGCAGAACAGCTGAGCATTTGACCATGTAGCAGGCTGTGCCAGTGTGTCAGACAAGGAAATGCGTTTTTGCGCTGACTAAGCACTTTTGAAACTTGAGGTAGAATTGTCTGGAGTTTGATTACTTTTCGTTGCAAAGGTAAATGTCGCGGTTTCCAAACGTGAGTTGTGAAAGTTGTTTGGCGGCATCAACATGCCTTAAACAACGAACTTGCTCGCCAGGAGTTCCAGCCCATCTCTGCAATGGCAGCGGTCGAAATCAGAGGAGCGCTAATCCCCGTCCCCAAAGCCGGGAGGGGATTTGCGAGCGGGGAGGCCATTTCCATTTCCGGCCTTCTTGCGGCTTAGTGGTGGACCAGAAATTTTTCGGACCGGGGCAGAAACCTCTGTTCTCCAGCTTGTTGGGACTCAGATCGGGTGCAATTCTGCCCTACCATCGGCTTCCCCCCGACTTTCGCAGGCCAAGCCCGTGGGGTGTGGTTGATGAATTTTCTATTAGCATGTGGCAGTGCGCATGTCCAATCACCTGGCAAGACATCCAATGGATCCGTGACACGGGACTTTTTGGGGGGCCCAGTTTCAAGCAGAACTAACATGAGACTGACGATCCATTTTGAAAGAACAGGGGACCACACACCGATGGTGGTTTCTTTGTTTACTTTCTGTGGCAACTGGTTCCAAGAGTGGGCGGGCCACTCGCTCGCATAGTGCGCCACACAGTGCAGCAGCAGCTTAAACAATAGCATTTCCCAACCGGGTGCTGGAATTGTAGGAAGTTCACCTGGGCAGAAACAAGCATGATGAAGGCCCCTTACTTAGCAGGGATTCCTTGGTTGTGAATGAAAGTAATTAGTGCAGATAGGCCTTTGCAACAATAGAGGCCGGATCCCCAAATGGCACCGCTTTGTCCCCGAGAATAGCCAACGGCAAGTCCTGAAAATTGGTTCACAGTCGCAGAGGAGCAGGCAGTGCCATGATTCCGCCAAGCTTGGTTGAGCAGATCTTTGGCCAACTCAGGCGGCAGGAGTGGCCCACTGGCCCACACGCACATCAAGTCCTGTTTGGCGCTCTGGTTCATGCTCTGCCTCACGCGTGATTCAAAACAATGGTTGGGGGGAGGGAACAAACACCCGAGCTGAAGCCATGCCCTGCCTCACGTGTTGTTCAAAAGAGGCTGGGGAGGGGGGGGGGGGGGTTGTTGAAAAAAAACACACCTGACGCAGAACTCCCTGCGGGACAAGCACGCGCCGGTGACCAGCACCACCTTCAACCGCCGGGGCGCCTTCACAGACTCCTCGGCTCCGAGGCGGCGGCGCCGGGCGCCCAGCTTCCGAAAGCGCACGGACACGGGGGTCTACACTGGGTTTACCTTTCAGCCCCCGTTGTTCCAGGGGGCATCTATTATTTATATATACACACACATATATACATACATACATACATACATACATACATACATACATACATACATACATACATACATACATACATACATACATACCTACATACCTACATACCTACATACCTACATACCTACATACCTACATACCTACATACCTACATACCTACATACCTACATACCTACATACCTACATACCTACATACCTACATACCTACATACCTACATACATACATACATACCTACATACCTACATACCTACATACCTACATACCTACATACCTACATACCTACATACACATACCTACATACACATACATACATACATACATACATACATACATACATACATACATACATACATACATACATACATACATACATACATACATACATACATACATACATACATTACATACATTACATACATTACATACATTACATACATTACATACATACATACATACATACATACATACATACATACATACATACATACATACATACATACATACATACATACATACATACATACATACACATACATACATTACATACATACATACACATACATACATACATACACATACCTACATACCTACATACCTACATACCTACATACATACATACACATACACATACATACATACATACATACATACATACATACATACATACATACATACATACATACATACATACATACATACATACAGACATACATACATACATACATACATACATACATACATACATACATACATACATACACATACATACATTACATACATACATACATACATACATACATACATACATACATACATACATACATACATACATACATACATACATACATACATACATACATACATACACATACACATACATACATACATACATACATACACACATACACACATACACACATACACACATACACACATACACACATACACACATACACACATACACACATACACACATACACACATACACACATACACACATACACACATACACACATACACACATACACACATACACACATACATACAGACAGACAGACAGACAGACAGACAGACAGACAGACAGACAGACAGACAGACAGACAGACAGACAGACATATATATATATATATATATAGAGATACTTCCCCTCCTCCCAAAAGAACGACAACACATGGGAACTTGCTGGTCCCACCTTTTCGGGGGCCTCACTTTCAGCAGACCCGGTCGCGCTGAAGTCACCGGGACTGAGGCAGCAGCGTGCACAGCCGGGAGCGGGGCACCTCGAGGGCCAAGCAGAAGAAGAAGCTGCCCGGGGGCTTCGCGGTGCACGCGCCTCGAGCACAAATTTCCGTGTTGGCCGTTGGCGGGGGCCGGGGGGTTGAGAAAAAGCAGCCCTAAGCGTCCCAACCCCAGCGAAAGCGGCCTGGCGATGCTAGCGGGGTTAAGATAGCATTTTGGAAACAACCACAAAGGCACAGTGAGAAAAGCAACAACAACCAGCAAAATAACAGGTCAGTTCTCCGCCCCAACTGTATGGTCCTTGGCTGTTGCGTGAGAGTCCATGAGGCTTGCTGGGGCTGAATTGTCTTTAGCAAAGCCCCATATATTTGGCCATTACCAAAGACCCTCGCCTCCCTGCATGGTTTCATAATGGCGTTTTTTTTTTTTTTAGAACATTGCTTGAAGGTTTTGGACATTGCAAGCCGCGTGCAGGGGTTTCCATATTTTGATGGATCACTTTGTCTCCAAAATGGAACTCTCCTCATAGGTCTCGTGGATGCGCTCATTCGGGTGTCCCCTTAGCCACCTAGCTTACCTCCAGGTTGCCCGGCTGCATTTGCTCCCGAGGAAGTGATCCAAACAGGGACTTAGGCCTTATGGTCTTATTCATGGCGTGTGGTCTTCTCTCCCCAGAAAGAACCAGAAGGGTTACAGTTTGGGGGGAATTCCTGAATATTGAAGCTACTAGGGAATAAGGGAACCCCCGCAACTTGCAATGGTTGGTGTGCTTGCTATTGTTGGGGAATCCACCGTGGCCACTTTAGTTTGTCATTGAATGACTTGGAGCCAGAAGCAAAACCTGGGTGAAGATCAGAGGAGAGTCCCAATCAGATATCCGCCCGTTTGAATACTAGGCTTTGATTGGGCAAGTCGTATGTCCCATGTTTTTGACTTCCGGAGGGGGACAGCTCATTTTTCTGCCCAATTTCAAGTTATAATCGAATCGTGATGTCGGAATTTGGGTCAGCGGGTTCGAACATTGCGGAATTGGGTCCATGCTTCCGGGAGTTTTTTCCATGGCACGCCCGGCTCGAGGGCAAACGCCGGGGATTCGAATCCGAGGACAAAGTCGAGCACAGAGGCCGGCGCATCTCGCAGCTGCCGGCCCAGGCAGGAGAGAACTGTGCGCCAGGTTCCTGAAAGAGAGAAATGTCATGGGGGCTGGGGGGCAGGGAGGGGAGGGGGAGGGAGCCCAAATAAGCCCTAAATAAGGCCTTATCAGAGGCTTAATAAGGGCTTATTTGCTCCCTCCCCCTCCCCTCCCTCCAGTTCCTTCAGAGCCCAATTGATCACCGGAGGAAATCTGTAGAGCTTCAGTGGTTTCCGGGTTCGCTGCTCGCAAAAACCCGCAGGTGTCCCGGAACCTGTCAAAGGACCTAGTTGTCTAGTGGGTCCCACCCTTTTCCCATTCGGGATGGAGCTTCCACAAATCAACTCCTCAAAAAATGGGACACTCTGTTCTTTGAAAAAAAGGCCAGTGGCCAAGAGTCATGACCATTCAACAAGACAAACATTTAGAATCAACAAACTGTCAAACCGGAAGGTTTTGAAGCTGTGGGAGGACCTACATTGTATGGGCATATATATATATATAGAGTATAGTATATATATATATATATACATGTATAGTATATATACATAAATATATAAACAAATAAATAGCTATATATCTATATTTACATATAATGCCGCCTTTTGGCCACCTGGGGCAGGCGGACACCTACAGTCGCTGGACCCGGGCCCGTCTGTGGCTTCTGCCGGTGGTGCGTCACAGGTGCCGTGCCGACTCCGGAAGACATGCGTCGGTCGGTCGGTTTTGGGGGCGAAGTCGTTGCCGGGTGCCGGTGGCCGGTGGCCTGGGGTGGGGTGGGTGTTGGTCGGGAGGAGGGGTGTTAAACAGAGAGAGAGAGAGAGAGAATTATCAGGAAAGGGGATTTATGGCATTTGGATGGTATCACGTGAAACAGCAAGAGTTGCCACGGCCCGTTTTGGATACCATTGCTATCCAATGAGTGTGCAACGATGTTGCATAGGCACTAGAGGCGAGGCGATGATGGTTTTCGTGTGAGATCCCAATGGCAAATGTATGACGAATTTCACTTGCAGCTCCCCTCTGATGTGGCCGTGATCTATGAAGCCCAAACTCAGAAACATGTCGGCCCCTAAGACAGGGCGGCTCACCCCGCGAATGTTCGCCTTAGAGTCAATTTTGTGAACAAACCTGTTGAAAGCTTCGCCACTTGTGAGATTTCTAGCCGGTCAGGTTCTATAACGAGGATTCCGGAGGGTTCCGGAGGGTTCCGGAGGGTGCCATAGGTTTGTGGGGGGTGCCATAGGTTTGTGGGGGTTTCATTGAGCGGTTGACGGGGTTTGAGGAAGCAGTCAGGTTCCTGGTGGTCGGGGGTTCCCATGAGTTTCAAAGAGTTTCAGCCGGGTTCGGGTGGTGTGGAGCGGTTTCCCTCCCGCGCGCCACGGTTTCCCGCGATGCCTGGGCCTTGGACCATTCGTTGGCAGGTACTTCAACTTCTTCACGGCGTTGGCGATCCTGGCCAACGCCTTCTTCATGGGGGCGGAGACAGCCTGGGTCACCTGCTCCGGTGATGCCGAGGGGCGCCTCGAAGCGAAGATCGAGGTTGGCTTTGCGGGCTCTCTGCGATTTTAACACGGAGGTTGACGGGTTGACACCCTATTGTTAAACGAATGGAATTGGGGAGGGTCGGCCACTGGCATTGAATTCAGGATAGTGGAAGTGGGGAGCTCCGACACTCCCTCCCCTTAAGGTAGGGGCACCTACATGAGGGCCCGGCCGGAAATGTAGAAGAAGCTTTGAAGGGATCACTGGGTTCAGCCGGTCGAAAGGTTCAGCCCAGCTCGGGATGCCCTTGGAAGGAGGTGGTCAGTAAGCGCATTCCTCTGGAACACGCCGGCGCCATGAGCGGCCACGGGCTGTGGAGCTATCCATAAACCAAAGAAGTGTCATGGTCAAGCGGCAGCTTGGGGTTTCCGTGGATTGGATTGTCAATTCAGGTGTTTACTGTACATATGGGTTGTCTTCCACCATGACCCAGGATGCAGCATGATTTGACGGGAGACCCGGCCCATCCTGATGCTTTTGAAGCCGTCAGTCATGCTGATTTGTTTTCCAAGCCGGCTTGGAACCTTTGTTCCAAACGAAACGTTGAATGGCTTAATCAAGCCTTGATTGTTTCCTTTTTTCGTTATTTCTTGGTGTGTTGACCACCCATTTAGGAAGGCCTCCCGGAGCCGCAAACCACAAAGCATGGCCGGTTTTTCAAGATGGCGCCTCCGCCGTGCCGAGGATCGGATGGTTCATTGGCAACGTGTGTTTCACCCAGTTGTTTCTTGCGGAGCTCCTCTTGCGCTGGTTTGTTGAAGGCTGGAGAGCGAGAGCTGTTCAGTCAGCTGGGATGTGCGACAACTTTGCGTGTCCTTTTTGGTTGTTTTGGTAGAAGCACAGATGGCGATTCCTGGTGGTTTAATTTTCTACCAGGCCATCTATTTCCCCCAAAAGGACACCTATGCTTGCGACAACTTTTGTGATACCAGGGAAAACCATGAGCCACCTTTAGGGGATAACTCTGAATGGGGGTATCGCAGAGGTTGAAAGACAAGTGCCACAACCCTTCTGGAGCATGAGTCGAAGCTCTCCGTTTCAAGTGGAGAGTCTACGAGTATTTCATGTGTGCTGACAAATTCCAAGCCAGAATAGGAAGTGCTTGCCACCATGCCAACCAACCACTCAACGAAAGGAACACACAAACAAGCCAACCAACCAACCAACAAACAAGCAATTGAAGAACAAAAGAAGGAAAGAACGCAAGAGCGAAATAACGAAAGACAGAAAGACAGAAAGACAGAAAGACGGACAGACGGAAAGACAGAAAAGACATAAAGACAGAAAGAAGGAAACAAAGAAAGAAATAAGGAAAGAAAGACAGAAGGACAGAAATAAAGAAAGACATAATAAAGAAAGAAAGAACAAACAGAAAGAAATAAATAGATAAAGAAAGGAAGACAAACAGAAAGCAAGAAAAGAAAGCAAGAAAAGAAAGCAAGAAAAGAAAGCAAGAAGGAAGAAAGGAACTAAATAAAGAAACACATAAAGACAGAAATAAAGAAAGAACATCAAGAAGAAATAGATAATGACAAAAATAAAGACACACATAAAGAAAGAAAGGAAATAAATAAAGAAAGAAAGAAGGAAAGAAAAGAAGAACAAACAAGATAAGCAAATAAATAAATAAAGACAGAAAGACAGAAAGACGGAAAGACAGACAGCAAGACAGAAAGGCAGAAAGACAGAAAGACAGAAAGACAGAAAGACAGAAACAACCTCAAGACAGAAACAACCTAAAGAAATAATGACAGAGAACAAAGTAAAACAACGCATAAATAAATAAGGGAACACAGAAACAATACAGAAAGAAAGAAAGGAAGGCAGGAAGAACGCAAAAAAGAAAATAACGAAAGACAGACAGAAGAACGAAAGACAGGCAGAAAGGAAACAACACATAAAGAAATAAGGGAACCCAGAACAAATACAGAAAGAACTGAAGGCAGGAAGAAAGAAAGAAAGAAGGACATACAATAAACAATATAAACAATAAACACATAGATAAAGAAGGTAAGACACAAGCAAAGAAAGAACGAAAGAAAGAACACAAGACATAAATAAAATAGGGGGACCAGAAATGAATACAGAAAGAAAGGAAGGCAGGAAGTCTCTACCTCTTCCTCCATTTTTCCCTCTCTCTCTCTCGCTCTTCCTCTCTCTCTCTCTCTCTTCGTCTCTCTCTCTCTCTTCCTCTCTCTCTCTCTTCCTCTCTCTCTCTCTTCCTCTCTCTCTCTCTCTCTCTTCCTCTCTCTCTCTCTCTTCCTCTCTCTCCCTCTCTGTCTGTCTCTTCTCTGTGTCTCTGTCTTTCTTTGCCTCTTTCCCTCTCTCTCTCTCTCTGTGTCTCTTTCTCTGTGTCTCCTTCTCTATTTGTCTCGCCCTTTCTGTCTCTTTCTCTCTGTCTCGCTCTGTCTCTGTCTCTGTCTCTGTCTGACTCTGCGCGTCTCTGTCTACCTCTGTCTTTGCCTTTGTCTGTCTCTCTGCGTCTTTGTGTCTTGCCGTCTGTCCGTCCATCCGCGTGCTTGTGTGTGTGTGTGTATGTGCGCGTGCGCGCGTTTCTGTTTGCAGTTGCGTTTTTTGTTTCCCCCTTTTTTTGGTGTGTGTGTGTGTTTTGTGTTGCTTGGTGCCGGTGCTGGTGTTTGCATTTGCATTTGTGCTTGTTTGCCATATGTTGTGTGTGTGTGTTGGCGCACGCATGCCCGTGTGCTTGTTGTTTTGTGTTCGGCATGTGTTTCTTAAGTTACTTGTTTGCTTGCTCGATTGACTGATTGCTTGGCTTCTATCTTTGTCTGCTTGCCTGTTTGTCTGTTTGTATGTTTGTTCTCTCGTTCGTTCGTTTGCTTTTTGGTTGCTTGTTTTTGTGTTTGCTTGCTTGCTTGCTTGCTTGCTTGCTTGCTTGCTTGCTTGCTTGCTTGCTTGCTTGCTTGCTTGCTTGCTTGCTTGCTTGCTTGCTTGCTAGACGGATACAAGCACACGCACACAACCACTCACAGGCACAAAGCGCGACATGCACAAGCAAAAAACAAACACCCACAAGCCCCACACACACACACACATGCCGACTTGTCTTCCTGGGCTTCAAACTTCCTTCGTTCCCTCGCAGAGCCCCGCACGGCAGCATGCGTTCTTGTGGCGCGTGCCAGGCCTTCTTTTCTGGGTTGATCCGTGGAACGTCTTCGACGCCATTCTCGTATTCTTCTCGCTTCTAGATGATGCTTGGCAGTGTACAGTTCTTTTGGGCCAGGGGTTTTAAGGACAGATGCCACACCCACAGTCAACATAGTTCTCTCGCAAGGTTGCAACATCACTTGATGTCACTATACTTTGGGGTGATGTTTAAGGAAACATCAGGAGCTAGGTCGGGGTCATTCAGTAACCGCTGGGGCGACCACTCCAAGCCACTTGTCGCATCAGGAAACTGCTTGCAAGTTTCGCAACTTGAGTGGGTGGCGCCAAAGTGGCGTTCAAACGCTGGTTGGGCCCCTTGCAGGATGTGTTGAGGGGGGTCTCAACTTTTCCTCTCTGCAGAGTGTGGACAGTGAAGACCGCCTTTGGTAACTGCACCTGCTGCTCCTTGTTTGCAGCACATCGATTGCAGTGAGGGAATCGCCACAACTGGCAGGCCCGTCTTGTGCACGGTATTTCCACATCAAGTCGGTTCGCGAAGTTGGTGCCACCATGCTAAAAGCACACGAGTTCAGCAGTTGCCTAGGGCTATCAACGTCTGAAACTGGATGTTGTTGTTCCTGTTTAGCGTACTTGGGTGACTTTGAAAGGGCACGAAGCAGGAGGATTTCCAGTCACAACCAGTTTTTGTTTGGACCTTGCCGCTGGGGTGTTGGAAGCCTTAAACTGAGCCGCGGGCCACAGGACACTTGTGAGGATGTCTCAGACTGCCTCCCTTGAAAATGAAGCCCAACCAACACCCGGGTGTTCCGTATGGCCAACATCGACCCTTTTAGCAACCTGTTACAGCTTTGGTTTCCAATGACTCCCCTGCAGAGTACGACCCCTCAAAGAGGTTGCAAGAAGTTCTGTTTCTTTGGGCCCAATTTGCGAGGGGACTTTAGTGTAAAGAGGTGGGTAAGGCACCAAGACATCCCCGGCTTGAGGACTTGGTCCTGACCTTCCTCATCGCCGCCAACCAGTCCTCATCCTTGCTGTTGGTCCTCAGGTGCAGTGTCGTTTTTTCGCGGGACACGGATGGGCTGGGGCCGTTGCAACATAGGGGACGTACCCAGCATTCCAAAGCGAGCTTTTTGTTGAACTTTGAGTTTCCAGTTTGGGTTTATTATTGATCAAGACACAACAATATTAAACTTGTTTTTCCTACCTTCTGGACAATTCATACCGACACGCAGGAGTCAACCAAAATTGTGTGATTCTTTGTTGGCTGGTGAATCACAATGATTCATCCAGCACACGCCCATGATTTTGGTTGGTACCCCCTTCAGAGAATCCCTAATTTGGTTGCTCGCAAAAAAGGTGTTGGTTTCCTTTCAAAGCCGTCACAATGATCCCATTTCGGTGACAAATGTAACGGAGCCCAGGCCCACAGTGAGATGGAAGGGGAAAGGAAAGGCAGACCGAAAGGATGCCGCAAGGACGCCCTTGTGCGAGGGGTGAAGATATGGGGCTGTGCCATGTTGGGCTTTTGAAAACCCTTTTCGTTTGAAAGAGAAACCAAGACAACCACCCGTTAAAGTTTCTACCTGGTCGGCCGCATTGTGAAGCTTAACGGGTTGAGGGCCATTCATCCCCCACTGACTTGCACGGGAAAGGTGGTTCGGGCTGAAAGCCGCACAGCTCCAAAACAGGCACCTGTGCCTCATTTGGGGGATTACCTGTGGAAGCTGGCGCCGTTTTACTCGCACGTCCGAATGATTTGTTCAGAGTCATTGTTGAACAGAGAAAAGAGGCTTTATGTCATATTTGAGTGCGTCGCCTACACATCCTGTTGCCCCCCCAATGCCATTCCTGATAGAGCTGCCTAATGCTGCCCTTTCTTTTTTTCTTTTTTTGAGGGGAGGGTGGCGAGTCTCGGCCATCGGAGTGCCTTGTTCCGACTCTCCCGTGTTCGGTGCAGTGGTGCAGGTTTGCTCGCATGCTTCGCTTCGTGCGGGTCCTACGTCTGCTCAGACTTTTCAAGGGCCTGTGGTACCTGGCAGAGGGACGCTCGCCTGCACTGAACACTTTTGTTGTTTTTGACGGAGACTTGGCCAGAACCGGATCCTAAACTTGCTCGTCTACACAGACCTTTTCAGGGCACAAAAGAAATCCTGAAAAGCGACCTGCACAAATCCTTGTGGCTTTAACTATTGGTCTATCTCTAGTCATGATCGGTCCCAAAAGGTGATCTCTGGCGACGTGAGGAGAGGGACTCGGGACTGACCACTGCTTGTAGGGATGTTGGTCAGGGCCTATATTGAGCCTTTACAGCCAATTGACATAATATTCAACGATATTTTGTGCACAACGTCGAGATTTTGAGACCTTTTTGGTTCTATATATTCCGTTTTGGTGAACACGAAGGCCTGAGTGCACCTCACCGAACTTGAAGACCTGGCCGACGGGAGGGTTTCGATGTTCGGGCGCTGTATGCAACATGTTTCGAGAGGTGGAAGAAAACAATTGCCACTGACTGAACACAACGGACATCTACAAATTGTAGATATCATTCATACCAACTCAGTTCTCAAGGGTCGAAGTGGGAATGTTGGTCGAAGTGGGAATGTGTTTTCGTTGCAATGTTGTCGTTGGCCGCTTTTGGCACGCCCGTCTTGGACATGAGTAAGAGTGGCATACTTGCAATGCTTGGCATTGCCTGACAGATTTACCAGACCCATCGACCATGGCCCGAAGTTCAAGGTTGAACCCATTGGTTTTCCCCACCTTTGGGTTCTGGATGTTTCCTTGGAATCTGATGTTTTGGGGATTCCTTCGGTTTGTTCAAGCGAACCAACTCGCGCCGCGCACCCAGGAATCATCGCCTCTCTCAGCTCGTTGGCCTGGGCCTGGCTTCTGCTCATTGCCAGGGCCTCGGGGGGCAAGGAAGCGACCGGGTCAGGCCAGTTGCAGGTCACACGTCACCCAAGAAGGGGGCGTCAAGCGCAGCTTCAGGCGGAGCAAGTGCTCAGGTCCTGGGACTCGGGGCTTTTATTTTTTTTCCCTGGACAAAACGTGTGGACAGGCCCGAGGCAAGCCTAGGAGCAACCTGACCGTCCTGGCCCAATGCACTTAAACCATCCTCAGTTGATCAGAAGGGGGAGGTGCCCGCACAGCTTCACATCAGTTTTGTGCCGTGCGCTCTGCTCTCTTGTCACCTGAAACTTGGATGGAAGAACCTCTGCCCCAATCCCTTGCTTGAACAAGCCTATTCATGTGTATATATATATATATATGTATTATATGTTCTACACTACACACTGCACACAACCACTTCTGGGGAAATGCCATCACGACGCACGAATGATTCGGAGTTTCTAAAAGCACCACTCAAAACTACACGGATTTCTGAAGAGAAAGCCAGGTTTGAATCCCTTGACTAGCGGGGGAACAGGGCCAAACAGGGGCCTTAGACCAATTTGCGACCATGATGCTATGATGCCGAGGCTCGTTTCCGGTGCATGTCTTATTTAGGGTTGTAGAGAGACGCGTTCAGGTGATGATGTACCTTCCGGCCATCTTCGTCACTCAAACCTTCGGCAGGGGTGGAAACTCTGACCCTCAGATGAAGCAGGACTTCGGGAACATGCTGCGGCTTGGCCGCCAGTCCAGGAGCCGCACCTTCCGGTGTCGGGGGGCTGTCGACCGATCCATGGTGGTTCGGGTTCAAATCTGGGGTTGCCCATATGCAGCTCCCTATGTTGACGTGTGGGTCTTGAATAAGTCGAGCTTGTAGACCCCAGCTGTCCCTTGATTTGCAAAGGGCCTGCTTTCTTGTACGTGTCGATATTTCCCTTTGGGTCCTATCCCATTGGATTTTTTCCTTTGGAACTGCCCCATGGGAATTTTCCCTTTCATTTCCCTTTGGAGTTCTCCAGTTGGCATGTTCGTATTGGACGTTTTTCCCTTAAAAATTCTCCCAATAGAATTTCCCCCACTGGATTTGTTCCTTTGGAATTTCCCCATCGGAAGTCTTCCATTGGATTTGTTCCTTTGGGGTTCTCCCATTGGAGGTCTCCCACTGGAATTATCCCATTGGACATTTTGCTGCGATATTGCTTTCTTTGCTGCCTCCGCAAGCCGAGGCAAAGCATGTACACGCTCTTCAAGGTCATGACCACTGAGTCGTGGGCAGACATTGCGCGGCATGCTGGCAAAGTTTCGCCGGGGGCAGAGGTCTTCTTTGTCTTCTACATTTTCTGCACAAGCCACCCGGCAGTCACGATTCAGTCATGGCCGTGCCAGCCATGCATGTGGAGGTGTATTGTTTTTTTGTTTGGTGTACAGCCGCAAGTGGCTGTTGGTCCAAAACATCGATGGCCTTTGAGCGTTGAATGAGCTGCTCTCGGAGGTGCATCTTTTTGGCTGCACAGTTTTGTCCCAAAGAACAGACATGCAAGTCCCCTCAAAGGATCTTCGCGGGAACTTTTTGGTTCCATGTCTTAGGGTAATGACCCTGTCACATTCCCGGGCTTCAGCGAACCGAGGCTTTGCAGTTATGAGCCTCAGCTGAAGATGGAAGGAACCAGGAAGCATCTGTGTGAAGCTGCTTCGGGGGGCTGAGCCCTGGTTTTTTCATGGCTTCCGTTGCTTCCGTCAGAACGCCAAAGTGAGATCGATGATGCGCTTCTGGCCCTTAGCCTCAGAAGCTCCTCCTCTGGCTTCTGTGAGGTGTGGGATGGAACGTGGGATGTTTAACGACATCGAGCGCCTGCAAAGAAATTGCCCCAAGCTCACAAAGGGGGGCCGGGATCCCTTATTTCCAGTTGATAATTGAGCGATTTACTCTTTCAGCAGATGGTGTTTGTGGCTCCTGTTCTTGTTTCTTTGCAGCATCGCTGTGGGCGGATTGACTTTCGGCTCTGACAGCGCATGATGCGGAAGTAGCTGAAAGATGCTGCAGTCAAGCGGAAGGGGGGGGGGGGGTATCGAGCACAACGCGTTGCCGCGGCAATCACAGGAACGGAAGGGTGGCGCAAAATCTAAGCATCACAATACTGACAGGGGAAGTGAACCAGATGAACCTTCAGCCAATGGCAAGGCGAAGACTGCCTTCCAGGCTTTGGGGGTTAGTGGAACTTTATAGTCCCTCACCTATTCTGTTCGCTGTCTATTCTTGGACAAGGAGAGTGGTTGCCTGACAAATTCTCAGCGGTTCATCTAAAGTTCGGAGCCAGGAAGAATCGCCGCTTGACCAATTTCGGCATCTCCTGCCATTGGGTTCCGGAGAGTGCAGCTGCAATTTGGGATCTCAGGAACGTGGTGGTCGCTGTCATCGTGCAGAACACCTGCGCCCTAGATGTGAGTTTTTTTCTTCTCCATTTTTCCGTGTGCCGGGGATTGGAGGGTTAGGTTGGGGCCTGAGTACTCAGAGGAAAGCGAAAGGAGCCGGGACCTTTCTCTTAGCCGGCTTCTTGTCCAAGGAAAGGAAAACCATTTGGAACCTAAGGTTCGGCAAGACCAATTGATACAGCCGCTCGCAGGGCGATGGGTTTCCAAAGGCTGCGTGTGAACCTGAGTTGATCTTCCATGTTCTTGATGTGTGGTCTCTGCTACTTGCCTGATGTGAATGGCTATGTTTTACTGATAGATGATTGCGTAGATAATGGCTTTTGTTGCTGCTTTTGAGTGGGCATGCCTATGACCAGTAAATCATGGGTGTTCTGTTTCGGAGCCTTTGAAATCTCCTCAGGTGGAAATAGCTTTGTCGTTGTTGAAGCACGGGGCCCCATTTTGGGGCTGTTAACAGAAGCCAACAGGACCGACACCCATTTTCCGACTCCAAATCCCATGAGACAAGTCCTGCAGTTGCCGTCTTGCATTTAAAGGGCAGCGTCCTTTGGGTTTCAACGGGGGCCCAATGTTGGGACGGAACCATATCCAGATGTAGTTGCCAGCTCACGGCCTAGGCGTCCATGCCAAGGAACGGCAGGAAGATATGCGATCTGTGCAGGCAGGGACGGACCCGTCAATGAATCACTCGCAGATGAACATTTCTCCCAACTCCCAAGTCTGCATCTTACGCGTTTTTAGTCTGGCAGGGGAGCCAGAGGGAAGCCTCGAATTTTGGGGTCAGCCTATTGGCTTGAGCTTCAAGACTTGGAACGCCTGAAACGTAAACTTGGAGTCCCACGGCGCTGCAAAAGCCAAAAGCAGTACTCAAAAACAACCGGGTTTGAAGGGCAAGCAGTGGAGGATTTCCTCCCAATTGTGCAGGGATATCGGGATTCCCTTCAATACATATCGGCGATACAGTGGTGGTTTACCTGCACTTTTTTGGGGGGTAAAGGGAAGGCTAAGATCAACCACATGTTGTTGATGTATTTTTCAACTTGCCACAGATGCTATGGTAGCTTGGGCAGTGAAGGCAGATTGGTTTGGGGTCGCGTAGGCTGGATGTCAAGTGGTTGGCTTAGGGTGAATTTGGGGGTGGATGTTGGGTGGGTTTAGGTTCAGTCCACGGTGGAATTGGATTTTTGGGTTTGGGTTGGTTTTAGGGTGGATCAAGGTTGTTTAGCGCTGGGTTCAGGGTGGCCTCGGGGTGAGTTTGAGTCGATATAGGGTTTGGCTTGCAGTTGGCGTTTTGTTTATTGCAGGTTTTGGGGTGGGCATCAGGTAGATACAGCAAATTTGGTCAAAAGGGTCCGTATGTTTCCCCTGCCAGTTGAAACATCACCCGAGCAGGCTTCCATTCTTGGAGAACCCAAAGGTCTTGGTTCCGGATGGTTTAGGGTGGGTTGTGGATTGGTTCGGGATGTGCGGTTGGAGTCAGGGTGGGTTGAAGGATTGGAACCAGCCATGTTTGGCTCTCGAGCACTTGAACACATCCAAACATGCCGCTGATCGGTGCTTTTCCCGACCCTGAACCAACCCTAGCCCTCCCTGCCTACCCTGAACCATCAATCATCAGCCCGCTGAATATGTTGCTGGTGTTGATGAAGCTGGCACGATTGGCGCCAACATGCATTGACCCCAACACCGATCCTAAACCCACCATTCCAAACCAACTCTAAATCCACCTAAGCCCAAGCCAACAGCCCAGTGATGCGAGTGGTGCTCATAACGCAGCTGCGATTTGCTGGAAAGTACCTTGATATGCTGGCAAGTGCTGTAAGCAGGACAAAACCACAAGAACCGAATCTTCTTGAAATTTCGGGGCCCCTGGCCCGAACCTCAATTCAACAAACCACATGGAGACATTTGAAGGTTTCACACAACGGTTCGAAGAACCCTCGCAGAGAGAAATTCGGCCAACGGTGTCTAGGAGAAGAAAGATGCCGATGCCATGCTGAAGGTTCTCGAGGTCTTCCAGCCGCCCAGCCCTTCTGGTTCCCTTTTTTTTGAGGCTGCAGAATAATTCTCCCCTACATGATAAGTGTGTGTGCGAATGTGTGTGTGTGTGTGTGCCAGTTGTCAAAACATGCACGACCATGTGAGAGCTGTGCCTGAAACAGTTGTGGACCATTGGGCGTGCGTGCGTGCGTGCGTGCGTGCGTGCGTGCGTGCGTGCGTGTGTGTGTGTGTGTGTGTGTGTGTGCGCGCGTGTGTGAGTTCGCGCGTGTGTGTGTGTGTGTGTGTGTGTGAGTGTGAGTGTGCTGTGAGTGTGTGTGTGTGTGATTGTGCGCCAGTTTTCCTGCAAAACGTGCACGACCATGTGAAACGGTTGTGGACCATTGGTTCTACTGCCTAATGTTCCTAGACATAACCGTGTACGTGTGTGTGTGTGTGTGTGAGTGTTTGTGTTTGTGTTTGTGTGTGTGTGTTTGCGTGTTTGTATTTGTGTATTTGTGTATTTGTGTATTTGTGTATTTGTGCATTTGTGTATTTGTGTGTGTGTGTGTGAGTGTGAGTGTGTGTGTGAGTGTGCGCCAGTTTTCCTGCAAAGCGTGCAAGACCATGTGAGAGCTGTGCGTGAAACGGTTGTGGACCATTGGTGCCTAATGTTCCTAGGGATAACCGTGTAGGTGTTTGTGTGTGTGTGTGCGCGTGCGTGTGTGTGTGTGTGTGTAGGTGAACCATTGACCTGTCTTGAAAGGTTGGACGATCTCGGATCATAGGCGACGGCTGGCTACCTGCTAAAACTTCAACACTGCACGATTCCTAAGCAAACATGGGTGTAGGTCAAAATGAAACCACTAGGGGACCGCAGGTTTTAGTCCATGTTTCCATTTACCAGGGTTCCATTTTGGGTACCTTCTTTTGACCCACGGCCACATTAGGCTTGGCTCAGAAATCCGAGGACCGCGGATGTTCAGCAGAGCGGTCAGGTCTCCAAGAAGGAGATGGGGCTTCGGGGTGTGCAAGACGTGCGGTTTTGCACAGGATTACTCCCGTAAGACTTCTGGAAGCTAAGGAGCCCGTGTCGGAAATGGCAACTTCTGCTCATTTGTCGAGGTTCTTTCACCATGGGCTCCCTGTTTGAGAGCAAATTTGCTTGCGATGGCCGCGGATGTGAGCCCTTTGTCCCACTGCCTTCGGTGCTGTCATTCCCGAATTAGACGCGAGGCCAAGTGAAGTGACATGAAGCACACGACATCTTCCCCGCAGCCGTCAATGTGCACTGACAAGGCTAATTGTCTATGGACCAACTTCAATAAAGTGCATCTTGGAAATAGATCAAAGGCTGTACAGCGGAGACACACATTGCAATCAGACTGCAGTCCATGTTTTGCCTTTGAATGTCAATGTAATGTTGTCAGCTTGCCAGGTGCGAAAACCACACAAACACAAAAACACACACACACACACCCACACCAGGTTTTCCACAGAATGCCGAAGCTTGACAATCGCTTGTCGGGCCAAATTGCATGACATGTTCCCTGAGGCGACAAGCTCGATCATGCAGGGTGATTAAATCACATGACGTTGTTCGAAGAGCTATGAATCAACAATTTCCTTTTTGTTGGTTGGGTCAATCACATTGCCCGTTGCCTAGCGTGATGAACGATACAATCATACATCGCAATTGTACATACATAGAGAGAGAGAGAGAGAACAAAAAGACAGCTTGTGAGGCTGAATCACATCACCTGGGTGTGGCTCAAACTTTGAGATCAGCGGCCCGCAGTTTCTAGTCTACTTTTCCATTTACAGGGTTCCATTTTGGGGCCCTTTTTTTGAGCCACACCCACTGTCCCAAGGCGATGACAATGCTTTCATTGTTGGTGTGTTGGGATCAATCAGGTTTCGCTGTGTCCGTGGGCATTGCTGCTTTTTTCCTCTTGGTTTCTGTGAGCCCGCCGAGGCTCTGCTGGCTTTGCGGGCGACTTTGTTTGCGCACGAAGCGTCCGGGGTTTTGGGATGCAAGGACTTCCTGAAGGCCATGAAGATCCCTTCCGTGATGCAGCTGATGCACGAAGCGCCTTGGGTAGGTTTTTGGCGCCCGCAAAAAGCAAACTCGGAGATACGCTAAAAGGGAGATGCGCTACTTGCGTTACTGAACCCGCAAGTTCTTGAGGGGTGGTCATCAACCCTTTGGATGTTTTGGGAGAATAATTTCCACGTTTTTCTCTCAGTGGAGGCATAACTAACTGATCATGGCCCGGAAAAGGTTTGGCACCTATGGAACCGCAAATGGATTGGGTGACGGAGCTTATTGTTTGGAGTAGTGGCAGAGGGCCCCCACAACTGTCAGCTCCCTAACTGGATCAACACCAAAATAAAAGAGGTTTCTAAGTTGAAACCACCCACTTCAAACTTCTATTTGAGGTTGATGGCCGCTTTTGCAATGCCATCAGGCACGTGCATGGGACATTGGTATATAGGCTCTTCCTCTCACACAAGGATGGTGTGGCAAGATTGTGTGAAACACTCTTAGCTCCCTTGTTCAGTTGATCTTTTGAGTTGTTTGGGGAAAGCAAAAGGGACGCTGGGCCACTGTGGTTCCCACTTCTTCTGTTCCCCGGCCGAGGTATGGGTCAAAATTAAACCACCAGGGGGCCGCAGGTTTTGGTCAATGTTTCCACTTACCAGGGCAACCCATTTTAGGTACATATTTTTGACCCACAGCCACCGAGGTGCAAATCGATGTGCGCCAAGCAGAGGCATTGTTCGATGTGCTCGACTACAACAACTCTGGCTCTTTGGACTCCGAGGAGTTTGTTGAGGCTGGAGATGGCTCCGTCTAGGTCCCCCAGCCAGGTGCCCTTTCTCACCGTTTCTTTTTTGGGGCCCGGAGGGTTCGCCGGGTTACGCGGGTTTTGGTCCATGTTTCCACTTTCCAAGGTTCCATTTTGGTACCGGTTTTGTGAGCCACAGCCAAATAGACTGCAGAAAAAAGGGTACCCTTATTCTAACCTCTCTACTGGAGGACCTGGTTGTGGTTCTCTGACTTTTGAATGTTCCAAGAACATTCGCCTTTCAAGTCATGCTTCGGAGTCCATCGCAGGGGAAGACGTGACCATTTAGCTGCCCTGAAGGTCCTTTGCAACCTGATCAATCTGTAGGAAAGCGTGCGCACTGGGCAAGAAAGCGGGTGCCGATGATGGCTCCTTTTATGAGCCAGCGATATGCTTTGCGAGCGAACAATTTTGCGCAAGCCACGACATTCCGTAACCATCATCGTACCACGCCGTTATACGGCAACCAAAAAACACCATAGCCTGGCGAGGATACTGCTTGAAAAGGGCAATCTCAAGACACTTGCTGCGTTTGGGGAAAGCAGGGGTAAATCCCAAAACCACCTGAAGACGAACATAGAGTCCAAGAACTCCCGGATGAAGGGGTCCTCTTGGGGGAATTTGAAGTGCTTCGTAGACGGCTGGCCACCAGGCTTCTGCTAGGTTTGTCCAACCATGATCAGGAATCCAGGTCTGCGAGTACCGTACATGCCCGCAAGAAACGGTTTCTTTGACATCGAGTAGGTACAGGATTGTTTTCTGGCGACATCTACAGCAAAAGGCTGTAATGGCTGCAACGACTATCAAGGGCTTTCAGGGCAAGCCTCTGAGACAAACCATGATTATCAGGATGTCAAGTCGAACATGGTCTCCTTTCTGGACCATGTTGTTTGGGATACCGAGTGCCCAGGAACTTGGAGCCATGTTGAAGATACTTGTGTTGGTCATGGCGTGCCCTCCAATCCCTGGATCCGAAGTGGGGGAACAGCCGGATCGCCAGAATCGGCCAGGGCATCATGCTGGCGCGGGGCGAGGCGCGGTCCCGGGAGGTCATCGCCGCCCAGTGCGACCTCTGGAAGGCGACTCGTTGAGGGCAGAGGGGCGGGGATTTTGGCGCTTGAAGGCCCCAGAGTGGCTCTGATTTTGGAAGGGAAATCCGGGTCCGCACTTTGGACGATGTACATGATGTACCTGCAAAAGGCTCTCAGATTTGGAGGCCCACTCTGGTTCTGGAACCAAAGGAGGGGACCCCAAGTCTTCCTGCTTTTGTTTCTCCAAATGCTGAATGCTGCGTTTGAACATGGGCGAGTGCCGCCAAACATATGCTTGAGTCTCAAATCTTCCAGGGCTCTCCTTCGAAACTGGAACTCGTTCCTTTGGGGGTGCCATGGTTGAAACCACCTCTCTCAACGCACATGTGTCCTAAAGGCTGGGCGTTCCCCTGCGGTCCGCGAACCCTTCACAGCAGCACTCTGGGCCCTTGAACGGGACACCCAAAGGATGTTTCAACAAGAGTTCAGCAGGGTCCGAGCCTTGGATGTGCAACCTGAGACTTGAGGTGCGTTTTGGTACACACCCCACCCTTTTAGCCCGACCACATGAGCAACTGAGGCTTGCGTGGCATTTTGTGTCGGAGCCTTGCTAGCCTTTTGGGTAGAACCAGTCAATGGGTCCAATGCGGTCATTTGCATGATAAACCGATTTCCAAGATGCTTCAGGGCTCTAGGGCCAGCCCCACTTGATCGGTGACCTCGAGAGTAAATGAGTTTGGCCCGGACTTTTGGTGGTTTGAACATGTCAGAGCAATGATTGCTGGTTTGTGGTTTCGGCAGCCAGAAGACGTTTTGGAAATGGGGTCTGTGCACGTCTGTGTCGGTGGGAAGCAGGGTACAGCTTTGATCTGCTGTTCAGGACGAGCACGACACCATCAACACGCTGGAGCAGCTTGAAGATTTTGTCGTGGAAGAGCCACTCAGATGGATTTGGCTAGAGGACATGAAGCCATGAGAAGCATGTTCTACCCTTACCGCACAAGCGGACAAGATAGCGCTCCCCTCAAACTCGTCTGGAATCAGGGTCGCGGAGTAGTTCACCATGCTCTGCTTTGGGTGTTTGTTGGGTTCCTTTTTCCTTTCTCGAAGCTAGAAGCCGGAGAGGTATATACATCGTACACTTGTGAGCGAGCCGAAAAGCAAAAGAGTTGGCATGGGAAAAACAGGAATACACCGCAGGTTGATTTTTCACTGGGCACTGTGAGGTTTGAAGGCTTGAACACCTTCATCGAGACCCTCCGGAGTGAGATGCGCCTTGCTCGAGGGGCCAACCCCTTCGAGGATGAGGACAGCCACAGCTGGGATGAGGCGTGTCTGGTGTCACCCCACTCCTAGTGCTCGGTCTTCGGCTGTTCTTAGCCCTCGAACAAACCCAGAGGTCCTGGTTGCCTCCTGTTTGCATTTGTGACCTTCGTTGGTGAAAAGTAAAAGTGACGGCCGAGGGTCGAAAATCGACAAGGGCGAAGCCAGGAAAACGGCCATCTGAGCCGAAACCACTAGAACCTGAAGACCTGGGGCCCATGTGCGAGAAACGCAGGCCAGCGAACTACTTGGGATCGATAGGATGGTTAAAGCCCGAAACATCACTGAAAACCCAGGCCCCAGGCCCGAGGCTTCTTGACCGTACCCCGAACCTCGAGGGTTTGTCTCAAAAGGGGCTCAAGAGGAAAGCCAAGAGGAGAGCCAAGAGGAAGCCTGGAATTGGCACCTTTTGAGACACACCGAGTGGGGCCACTTTGGCGAATCAATTTCTTGCACGCAGCTTTCCTCCGGGGACGGATGCCGAGCCGAATGCACGTTCAGATGTTCAGGCGGTTCAGACTGCCTCAAATCGGTTTGCCCTTCCCATTTCAGGAGGAGGACCTTGGTGTCCCTCTAATGCTGTTATGCATTCTGGGTCAATTATAACGACCTCACACGACCTCACCCCAAATGATGTGGGGAATACAACCACCTTATTTCAGGCTGGTGAAATATTATAATTCACCCAGATGCATTGCTTGTCATAGCAAATGTCCTTTGGGTTCTAAAAGCCCCAGGTGTTACACGACCTGTTCACATGGGTCCGTCCCAGAAGAGCCACTGGATGGGATAAGGAGTCTTGCCACAAAGAAGCACCATCTTAGCCCTATATCTATACCACTAGTATCCTCCTGCACTTTTGGGTCGCTCACAAAAAGAACAGCTAGATTAACATGTGGCCAGATTTGCCTGCACTGTCTAGAGTCTAGTTTGAAGCCAACAAAGAACGGGTGGCCCAGCATCATTGGAACCGAGCTGATCGAGAACCCCCCAGATTGATAGCTAACACAGGGTGCAACAAACCACGCAAGAAATCCGATCTATTTTGGGGCGGCCTCTGCTTAATCTATCAGGTGTATTGGTTTGGGCAATAGCGGCCTCCGAAAGGGTTTCGACCCAACGTTCCTTTGAGAGGGAAGGCATATTATTGGTGAATTGTAATTCATCCTGGTTGGCTATTTGAGGGTTGATTTCAGCATCGGAAGCAAGCAGACTAGGGGGTCACCCGAAGGGGGGCGAACGTTCACCCAGGTGCTCAGTAGATTCAGATCATGTCTTCCCGTTTGTTTTTTGCTGGCCATCAACAAGCGGACAGTGACGTTGGCTTCTTATGTGGCGTGTTCCCCCGGAGCAGCTTGCCAAGGAAGTTCCAATTGAAAGGCTGTCGTCCAAGACGAGCGCCGCCTTTATATGCCGAAGAGTCAGCTCGTGCAAAGCATGCCTTCCAAAGGGTGCGAGTTCATTCCAGATCGTAGCATCCAACCCCTTCAGATGAATCAGAGGTGTTTTTTTTTCTAGGGGAGCATGACTCATTCTAGAAGGATCCCACCCTTGTTCAACAGGAATCTCTCTGTGCTCCTACTACGCTCGGGGATTCTCTAAGACTGTCTCTTCAACGCCATCTTTCATGGCAGCTACAAATCCAGCGTCAGTCAGTTCCAAGGAATCCATCCACACAGGCTCCCTATTTTGAGACAGGCCCACATGAGCATATCCTTCCATGACACTGAGTTTGGCGTGCCAGGTTGCCCTTGAAAGTCTGGCCCAAACGTCAAGTGGCAAGAAGTGATGACCATCTAAAGACAAAAGCAGAAGTCTGGAACAGATGGTTCAATGCTTCAACAGTTTGCTAAACGCCAGCAATCATCCTGCAGTCTAGTGTGTGGTCGACCAAATGAAAGTGCTCCACTGCGACAATGCAGGCACCAAATGCCAAAAATATTGTGGTGGATTGCAAGACTATCACATCTCCGCACAACTGTGAGCCACGAAGGAGCTCGTGAAAGTTTTGTGTTTGCCAATCCCTCAGCAACGTCAGCAGGAGCTGCCACTAGACGCTAAGCCGTCACAGGGGGGCCTCGTCCGGGCAAGGAATGGTGCCATGTTTTTGTTTGGGGAATTCGGAATAACTCTTTTCAGGGTCCTTTGGTTTTGGGGTGAATTGGTTTGATTTGTTGGTCCCAACTGCATCTTTTATCTTTTGGTTTTCACTGGCCTGCTGTCATTGAGCCCTTCTTGACCGCGAGCCGTTCCGCGCGCGGAATGCCACAGACTTTTGGATCCCTTTGGATGGCACCACGCGACAAGATCCGTGGGAAGCCTATTCCAAATATTCCAAAGTCCCGTCAGATCCGAAGGCGACACACTTCCGTGGCTGAGCCCCGGAGATGCACAGGTTACAGCTCGACAACGGCTAAGACAAAGTTCCACAGCTTGAATCGCGCCAAGGGTGTGGGGAAGCAAAACCGCAAGCCTATGAGGAAGGTTCCAGGAGGGTACCTTTTGATCCACCAGGATGGCCACCCAAGCCTCTGATAGCCTGGAGTGCGGCTTCAAATTCTTGGCTGTGGTTCGGTTCGATGTGCTGTTCGAACACGGGTCCTATGTTCAGTGTTCATTGGGGCCCCAAGGGTGCGGCTGACGCGTGGTTTGCCATTCTGAACACGTTTTGGGATAGGGGCAATACCCCAATTCCAGGAGTAGGTAAAACACCCTCACTCCAAAGAGCCATGTACTGCGTGTTTGGCTCAAGGCTGATATAAAAGGTGCATACTGCTCCGAAACGGGGTTATCAGCCGTAGGAGGCCCCTTTACATAGGCCTTAGAGGCGCCATCCCTTCGCCGCAACGGCGGACGCTCGCGGCCCGCCGCTGGCTCGGCGGGAGCGCGCGGGCAAGAAAACCCGCCGCTCCAAAGAACTGCGGGCGCTCTACTTGTCCGGAGACTACGTGCCGGTGCAAGGCAACCGCCCGGCATTTGCGCTGCAGGACCGGGAGTCGGGTTCGGCCGAAGCTTCTGGCTCCGGGGCACGACCGGTGCCTACGAGGAACACCTTTGAGGTTCGGTCGGTTGGGTCCCGCTCGGGAGTTATCCCTGTTCCAGGTCCAGGTAACCAGGCTGAAGATCTCGTGGAGATCGAGGTAGAGGTTGCTTCAGAAGGGTCGAAGACGGAATCGGATCCGGGCGAGTTGTATATCTTTGATAGCGAGCCCAGGCCCGAGTTGGCAGTCCCGGAGGAGGTTGAAACGATTGTGATACCTGATCAGGAACCATTCCAATTCGAACCCCCTCGAACTGAGGCTCGACCTGTTGAACCGCCTCGACCCAAGGTTTCGCCTGCTGTACCAAAGGCCAAGACCCGTCCGGCTCCCTACTCTAAGGCATCGGCACCTGGTACCCTGACCACTCAGGAAGTTGGCCTTCTGGCTCCCCGGCCGCGCCCAGCCCCGGCGCCTGTGACGCCGGCGGCGGGGCGGTCGGAGGGAGTGACTGCGGTTCGCGACGTGATCCGAGGAGTCATAGACTTCCACGGGGTCTTGGATAGGGAACACGCCGATACCCGTCACAGCCGAGGCGTTCCGGCTCAGGTTGTGCGAGACGTGCTCCACTTCCTGCGCACTGAGGAGAACCGCCAGTTGTGCGTCCTGACGTACATTGGGGTTCACAGCTTGAGTAGGCGTGAGGGGACCAGGTTGGAGGTGGCCAAGGTGAATAGGATTCTGGCCGGGGTAGGAATAGGACCCGATCAGCTCTTGCGTTTCCAAATCTGTGATCGCAGAGAGGACAAAGGGAGGTTTTGCGCCCACCATAAGGCTCACTTCTTCGTTGACGACGGGGGAGACTGCATCAAGAGCGCTGTCCGTCACGCCCCAGTCACAAGGAAGTTCCTTGTGACAAACCGGTTCGGGGAACACGTGGTTACCGGTTTCGGGGGAGAGGTTACTGCTATTTCCTCGCTGAGACAGGCACTTTTACAGGTGTCGTCACTCAACCTCACCGCGGACCGCCCCGAGCCCGACTGGGAGCGCCTGGAGAAGCCGTGATAGTGACTCGGTGGAGTTTAGTGAATGAGTGATCTAGAATTAGAGATTAGCTCGTCGTCGACCGGGGAGGTGCTGGGAGCTGTGGCTAGGACTCAGGGAACACTGAGCGGCGGCTCCAGCAGCTCCGATAGTCGGAGAAGGGTTCAGGTGCTCCGGCCTCGGAGCGGATCCTTGTCCACCAAGGACAGGATTCGGGGTAGGCAGATGCTGCCCGACCATGATTCGGTCGAGGTAGCCCGCGATGAGCCTCAGAGTTCGACAGCAATGCAGGTGGATCTTGATGCACGGTCACTTCACCTGACTAGGAATGAAACCTCGATATTCCATGACGCCCGCCAAACCCACACGTGCAACCAAGATGTACAGGTTGGGGCCGATCCTGAGTTGTTGTTGAGAGCGGCTAGTGAAGCTGTTGATGCACACAGGTCGGCGGCAGAGGCCAAAGCCTCGCAGGCTGTGTCTTCCGTTCAAAACGAGGCTCAGTTGATGGTGGGACGTTTGCAAAACGAACTTGAGATGGCCAAACATCGTGAGAAGAACATGAGAGATGAGATTGACACGCTAAGGACTAACCTGTTGACTGTATCCCAACAAACCCCTTCGTCGAAAGCCGGTGAGCATAATGGCACGGATGTTTGGAGCCGGATTGAAACGATTGAGAAAGCGGTTGACAAAGAGTTCAGTTCCTTGAATACCCGACTCGAGGCATTCCAGTTTGCCTTTGAGCAACTCAGTGCACAGGTTCGTGAATGCCAGGATGAGATCACTTGCGTCCGAAATGTGGTGCAAGCTTGGTCCGATGAGGACGCTGCCCAACGGCAGGACGATTGGTGGACTGAGGATCTTGTGGCCAATGCTGATCAAGATCCAGCCTTAAAGGCTCAGGACGGGAAACCCCCACCATTGCCCAAGCCACCGACTAAGGTTTCTTCGACTGAGGATCCAGTGCTGTCAGGTGGAGCTCAGTTCTACAGGATGGCCTCGGGGGATCGGGACGGCCCTCCTCCTAGCCCAGCGCCT